CTTCTGCTTGGTGACGAGGGCATGGATACCACTCAACGCCGTGATACCTTGGAGCTTGATGGCGCAGGAAGTCATGCGCGACAGGGAACGTGGCCGACAGGCGCAGTCATGTAGTTGCTTGACGTTCGGTATGATTTTGAGATATTTTCGTGCATTGATTCCCGCATACCCAGAATGGCCGGCGCATAGCTCAATAACTAGAGAGAGAGAGAGGGGTATACGATGGTATACGGATGTATACGGATGTATACGGACTCCAAGCTCTCACCTTGTTGTCACATGCTCATGATAGCTCAACCACTGCTGTGTGAGCGATAGCAGCAGGATGATGGGCCGGATGATGATCGTGACAACCTGAGAGATCTGAGAGAGAGGAATCCGCCACCTGGAGCGCCTGGACTTCAGGTCGCGATGGGCCCATGCACTACCCACCGCCAGGAGGACCACCACCACCAGGCAAAGGGTGCTATGAAGGGAACTGGATGGAACTGGCTTGTCTTAACAGATCAAACATGATCAAACTGTTCACTTTCCAAGGAGTCGCAAATTTGAATCCCAGTGATTTTCTTCATACTTCGCCGTATGTTTTCGTGAAAAGAGCGAGCAACCCAATGTACCAATAATTGGATACCCTCAAGTTGGAAGGTTCTAGAATGCCCCCCCCTGGGTATAAACACGGAGGGTTCTAGAATGATTTTTTTTCATTGTAGAACCCCCGGTCCCGTAAGCATTGTAGAACCCTGGAAGCTTGTATAATACAGCATAATATATTTTAATATTGATAATATATTATAATAACATATGATGATGTATCTGCACGATTTAATTCGACGTCACGACGTCACCCCGAATTAACGAGGCAGAATTTTGAAATTAAGGGGATTTGTACATAAAGTGCAGAAGGTCAAATAAGATCAAATAAGGCCTTAACAACGTTACAGAGAAATACAGCTATTTAATGCTATTTCATGATATTTCAGCATTGGTCTATAATACCAACAGTTGATTTGGAAACACATTGATCTGGAATGTCCCAATTTCTCTTGTGGAGAGGAGGGAAGGGTTCTAGAATGCTTTCCTGCATGTACCAAAGTGTGATTCAACATCCGTGGCCCATGGATTCCATTTCAGAACGCATAGATGTAGCTCTATACACAGAAGGTCAAATAAGATCAAATAAGGCCTTAACAACGTTATAGAGAAATACAGCTACTTAATGCTATTTCATGATATTTCAGCATTGGTCTATAATACCAACAGTTGATTTGGAAACATTGATCTGGAATGTCCCAATTTCTCTTGTGGAGAGGAGGCAAGGGTTCTAGAATGGTTTCCTGCATGTACCAAAGTGTGATTCAACATCCGTGGCCCATGGATTCCATCTCAGAACGCATAGATATAGCTCTATACACAGAAGGTCAAATAAGATCAAATAAGGCCTTAACAACGTTATAGAGAAATACAGCTACTTAATGCTATTTCATGATATTTCAGCATTGGTCACAATACCAACAGTTGATTTGGAAACACATTGATCTGGAATGTCCCAATTTCTCTTGTGGAGAGGAGGGAAGGGTTCTAGAATGGTTTCCTTCAGGTACCAAGGTGTGATTCAACATCTGTGGCTCATGGATTCCATTTCAGAACGCATAGATGTAGCTCTATACACAGAAGGTCAAATAAGATCAAATAAGGCCTTAACAACGTTATAGAGAAATACAGCTACTTAATGCTATTTCATGATATTTCAGCATTGGTCTAGAATACCAACAGTTGATTTGGAAACACATTGATCTGGAATGTCCCAATTTTTCTTGTGGAGAGGAGGGAAGGGTTCTAGAATGGTTTCTTTCATGTACCAAAGTGTGATTCAACAACCGTGGCCCATGGATTCCATTTCAGAACGCATAGATGTAGCTCTATACACAGAAAGTCAAATAAGATCAAATAAGGCCTTAACAACGTTACAGAGAAATACAGCTATTTAATGCTACTTCATGATATTTCAGCATTGGTCTATAATACCAACGGTTGATTTGGAAACACTGGTCCATTACAAGAAGTGAAGATGTTGAAGAGTTTGACGCATGAGTGCATCATCGAGTATATAAAGTTTTGGATGATTTTTAATGATTTTTTTAAGGGTGGAAGATACCATTTCAGAACCCATTTTAGAACCCAAAAACGGAATAGTGGCCAACAATTTTAGGTTCTAAGACCCCCCTTGTAGATTCCATTTTAGAACCCATATTTGGGTTCTAAAATGGTCCCCAAGGGGGGTTGAAGCAACTTGAGAGGATATAATTGGTGGAGGATTATGATAGCAAATGATGCTGCCCTAATTTGCCACAGCAGCCGTTGCACTCTGGTTGCTGCTCTGACAATTCATGTTCAAAATTCCAATTAGAACCAACGGACAAGCCACCCTGAAGCAATTCCACTGCTTCCAAAAAGTGCCCGAAAGAATTGTGGCTGAAGGCTACTATCCTCCGCCGGTTGGGCCCTTAGACCACTAGCCATCACTAGCTGGCACTAACCATAATGGTCAGCATATGTCGGCGTTGAACGTAGTGTCCGTACCGCAGGGGGCCTATGGAGGAGGCGGTGGGAGCCTGCAACAACTATGCTGCATAGGGATATTTGATATTGGGGGAATGGGATTACAAACGTTAAAGACGGGATAGAAGGATGATTCAGGGTGACAGTATTGATACCAAACCAGTTGTGAAAAAAGAAGTTGGTGCATGTTGGTACAAGCATTGCCAGAGATGTTTTTTGAACGTCTTGGTTGGCGCAGGCCCTGCAGGCTATCCTGGATATCCGCCACCTGGTTACGGTGGCTATCCTGGATATGGTGATGGCCTTATGGATCTTATGGCTTGCAGATCATTTTCAGCAGATCTCCCAGCAACGCCTCCGAGGAGGGTACTATCCACCGCCACCACCTGACTACTATGCTGCCTATGGCTACCCACCTCCGGGATATCCATACGGTGGATATCCACCGATGCCGGCACCAAGGCTGGGAGGGACAAGGGCCTTGACAAGGGGAAGCCAGGGAAGTGAAATAAGTGAAATACATTGAACTACTATGACATATTATGACACTAGATCAATGACAAAGGACCTTACAATGCTCATATTTCCTTCACTTTCACGGGAACATTTTTTCTAAATTCTAAATAGATGCAAATACAATGAACATATATCATTGCTTGACCCACTTGTGAATCAGATGGTACTTGCAGCATTCCAATCTCTAGTGTTGGAGGATTTGTTTGTTGAGACTCAACATCTTGAAGTCCCTTTTGTTGACTCCTTCAAATCTGAATCATTCTGAATCTAAGGGTATGGAGGATGCAGATTGAAGGAATCTTCGGTGGAGGGTCTTGATCCCCAGATCAATTGGCGCCCCGAGCTACTTAATGCAGATTATCAGATTCTTGCCTGCCATGCGCACTATCATTGACGTGCAAGTCGCCTCTAATTTTTGAGGCAGTGGATCTAAGCATCACTTGCATCATCCTATGTCCATTCAAGATGCACTACGACATCATCCATCTCAATGCATTTTAACAATGCATTTCAATCCATGTCACACGATTTAATGATGACATGTTGAACATATTTGATAATCATTATGATTTTGATTCACTATGAATTTACGAACTATGATGAGTTATGATGAATTATTAACTATGATGAACTATTTACTGTAAGGATTCCCAAATCATCGCGTTCTGAACATCGCCATCACAGCGGTCGTGAGCCTGCGCCAGTATGGAAGACCGAAGCCGCTCCCGGAGCCGTGGGCGGCGGCGGCGACGTGCCTAGTGCCAAAGGGCACGCCATGAAATTGAAGCATCACTGCATCACTAAAGTCACAATGATGTCATCTAAAGTCACTAGGATGTCACTAGGATGTCACCAGAAAATGAGGCCTTCAGGTTCTGCAGTCAATGAAGTTAGATGTTTGAACCCACGGTTAGGATCACATTTGCCAATGCAATTAAGAGAATTGTGATGAATTGTACAGACATACGTTGAGGACCCTAGAATTGCTCCAACTAGAAGATATCGAAGGGTCATTTGGTTTGAGGTCCTGAGGCTTCTTGCACAGCCAAGTACAGAAGTTTATCTCTGGAAAACCAGAATCCAAACCTTCAATGCTTTGCACCAGAAAACCTGTTCAATGTCCTTTAGTAGTTTGTTTTGAATTTACAGGGCGTGTGCCCGAATGTTATCATCTTGGAAACAAACACAACTTGCGAGGATCTCAATGCCTGTATAGTGACAAGCAGCAACATTTGCTGTCCTCCATCTATCAGTACTTGCAGATGAACAACTTTGAGACTTACAGATTGAGAGCTGTAAAGGTGACCATACCAAGGCAGCCGCAAGTAGAGAGGTGACCTACAATTGCGGAAATGGAAAAGAGTTGTTCAGAGCGGGTATGAATGAAAACCTTGGAATCAGAGCTAACACCGGGAGCTGAAGCTTGAGAAACCCATTGCTTTGCTGAGACGGGAGCAGTCAATGACATCCAAGAGATCTCCAGGGCTTCAAATTTAGTGATCCAACTTAAACTTCAACTTCGGTAAGTTCTGTAGACTTTGAGGCTCTTGATTCCTCACTCCTGAAACCATTGACCGCAGCATTATGCTATGACAGTGGCATCACCTCGGGCGCCAGAAGTGAAACAGCGACTCTTGAGACATGAAACGCGCAGAACGTGCCATGAGGTATAGGGAATATCATGGAATATCATGAAATCAAGGAGGAGAAGCCATATAACTCCAACCAGTTTTATATAGTTTCTCAATGTCCCAGATTGTCACAGCTTCAAGCATCAATATCATCCACAGGACCATTGCAGATGTGACAGGAAGTCCAGCTTCCTGAGCCCACCCAGTGGAAAGAATCAACGACAAACAGGAGATTATCATTTTAATATATTTTAATTATCAGCCACATTTTGAGCTTGCTGAGATCGCCCGAAGATGGGCCAGTTCCATGCGGTGCTTGGGATTTTCCTGGTTTCTTGGCGGAAAACACGTCAGGTTGTTGGCTTGGTCGTGTCGGCTGATTCGATCACGTGTTTTCCCAGTTTTTGCATTTGTCAAACAGACTGATCTTCATGTCGAGCTTTGCCGAGGCTCTCATTGAGGTGATTGCAGAGCCAAAGATATCGGTTGTGACAGCCTTGCTACCACCAAGGGGTCCAGGCCAGATTTGTAGAATGCACCAAGTACAGTGTTGGGTTGTTTGGAAGGTATCCCGATCCCGATGATCTCATTCTCTCCTGTTCTCACTAAGTTGTGTAACACAGAGAGAGAGAGGGCATATTTCAAAACAATCTTGTGACCTTGCACTAAGAGAGTGCGAGAAAGGAGTGAGATTTGATGTGCATTGCAAGGCCAAATCAATGCTGGGGCAGGTGCACGCTTGCGTGTAGAGGCGTGTGTGGGCGTTAAACGGAACCTTTTTTGATCTACTTTATCAATCTAAGAGAGCTATCTACCAGAAGGACCAGGCTTCGCCTGTGTTGGTCCCATGATCTTCCTTACGGTACACATCTCGTCATCAATGGAAACCAAGCATGGGGCCCAGTGGCAACACAAACATCTCAAAGCTTCTTCCATCCCTTGGCCAAACTCTGCGGGCTTCTGTGATTTCAATGGGTCTGCCTCGCAGATCTTGCAGGCTTCGGGCGGCTGCTTTCGATGGGTTGTGTCTCAAAGGCCGGAGTTCACTTGACCAATGTCCAGGATTGATTTTGTTAATTTTGTTCCCACCCAAAGATGACGCGACTCGTTTCTGCTGAGCTGTGCAGACGCGCATAGGCCTGACCTTGTGGTGGTAGAGGAGCGGTGGAAGAATTTTCCGAGAAGCGAGGGCAAACACTATTGACAGATGCATTCAAAGAAAACGATTGATAAAATCGAATCAGAATGAATCCGATGTGTTGTAGATAGCAGTTTTTCCAAGGTTAGTGCTGACATTGGCACCGGCACTTGCCATGGCGCCATGGCAAAAATTGATGACCTTGGCGGGTCGCCTCCAGGAGCCATTACAGGAGGAGTTGCCCCCACGGCGCGCAGCCGAGAAGGCTGCGGAGGCGGCCTGCCAGGAGGCCAGAGAAACAGAATGGACGTCTGAGAAACAGATAGAAATAGTTTCTGAAATAGACACAGATTGACACAGATATCATATATCCGTGATATCCGTAAATTGTGTGAATGCACCTTGATTCTTCCACCAACTTTTGTTGTTTGTGCTTCTTTCCCATCTTGCATGATTTTGTATGCCCCGCACTGCTCACATGAGTCTTCATCTCTTTATATAAATACGTTCAACATCGTTCACTATTTCATCACCCAAAGGCCTGTCTGCACGCTGGTCGGCAATTTCTACCTGATGAGACTCAAGCAGACGACGGTTGCTGCTTGCTCAGGAAACTCGAGTCACTTGAAGTATCTTGAAGTGATATCCAAGTGTGCGCGGGCAGCTTGCCTCTGGATCCTTTGTTTTCTGAGGTCAACCAGTTGCAATCATTCGATCCATTGCGGAAAAGATCCATTCGAATGTTGAGAAGGTTCTTGTTCTCGCACAAGACATTCAACAACCCGGGGTCGAACTCCGCCATTTGGATGGCATTTGGCGTTCTGGTTGGGGGGAGCATTCGTTGGTATTGCTTATTGGCATATTGGTTGGTATTCGTTGGTGGGACATGGTGGGATGACCTTTTACCTTTGGCATACCTTTGCCTCAGGATGTGAAGTCTATATCGCCAATATAGATCGAATAGAGGCAAGCGGGTGACAGAATGGTTTCGGCGCTGTCAGTAGTTGTTTGCGTTTCTCCACTTTCAAATCAAATTTCTTCAAAGGATTTCATGCTGTTATAGTTTGTTATTTCTTAACGTTTCTTATAGTTTGTTGATGTTTGTTGCTTTGTCGTTGCATCTTGCCTCTCAAACTTGGCTCCGTGCCATGCGCCAGGTCGAGACATCTGTCCGCAGAATCAATGTGGATGATGTCGAGACGCTAGGGGTGAAGGCTCATTGCATGACACCAATGACACCCAAATTTGGCCTCTGTGCATCTCTGTGCAACTTGGCTACTTTCAAAACGTTTCCGTCCGTTGATGTCCCTCTGTTTGTGTCAGGCCTATGATAAGCAGGGCAACGTTTTCTCCTCTTTAGAGGGTTTAGAGCCACTTGGTGCCAAGTTGGTTAGCATGTTGTTGCACTGGTTTTTCAGCCTTATCACCCTTGTGCAATCATGAAATGTTCTTCAATTGAATCATGACCAGTGATCACTCCAGCTGCTAGGTCTCATTGGCAGGCTGAAAGTCACGACGTATTATCATCACAAGTTCACTTCACGGGTTTCCCGGTTTTCCCGCCTCCATGGGTTTCGATTGCAAGTTGAAGGAAAGCTGATGAAAGTTCCAGTTCCATCCAGTTCCGAGATGTTCGAAGTATTTCTGTCCTCCCAGGTTCCGGTGGCGCCTTGGAGATGCCTCCATTCTGCAGAGTCCAAAACTCGTCGACTCGGCTTTCAAGCTGAGCCCAGTGCGACGTGCGCTGGCGGAGGTGCCGTGGCTTTTGGTGCCTGAATTCGGTGAACATATGTTAACAATTGTTAACATGTTTCGGCATGTTCAACATATTTCAAACATGTTCAAACATATTGACAATATTTGACAATGTTGGCAGAGTTGGAAGAATGTCAATCTTTTAAGTTCAAAATCCAAAAGGAACTAAAGATTCATAGCTTCTCACATCAAAGCGCAGGCTGGAGCACAGCCCGACACGGTGCTATTGCAGGGTGTGGCAACGGGAAGGACTGGCAGAATACATATCATGGCTCGCAGAGTCACAGAGTCAGTAGATAAGTAATGATAAGTAGATGATTGGGCGTTAACATTTGCAGCAACGTGTCGCCATGTGTCGCCTGTTGATTGTGAAACGCAGAGCATTGACGTACAGGACGACGGTGCGCGCCAATCTGACGATCGGCACACCAGTCATCGTATCTCCAGAAGTCCATCTCACAGTACTGGAGAACATAGCTGCTTGGCACGACACCATAGGACACCATAGGACACCATAGGACACCATACTGTAGGACACCTGGGTCACTCCAGCGCCGTGATTTGATCATATTTGATAGCGCCAATATGCGCCAATGTGCATCTTTGTGTGTCTTTGTGTCCATTTGGTGAGAGGTGGTGATGCCATCATTGCTGTATGCTCCTCCAATGGCGCATCTTCAGCTGCAGCTGAAGATCCTTCGTGGCCCACGACGGCCCCTGGAGGCTCTTGGGGATCCATCCACAGTTTACCGTACTTTACCTCCAAATCCTCCCAAAACCTCCGGTGTTTGGATGTGTTTGGGATGGTTTTAATTAGTAAGTCTTTACACCCCAGCCCAAACACAAGCTGCATCTTTCATCATCTGAAAATCATCTTTCATCATCTTTTAAACAAAACAACCGTTTCAAAAAACGCGAACTCAGCGTATTCTGATTATTCTGCGCCTGGAGATGTTGATGGCCAGGAGTTGCCTCCCGTTCAACTGCCAGTTCCACATTTTCATTGGCATGCCCAAACCGAAGGCGTGAGTCATAGCGACTCAAAACTCATTTCAGAAATTTCTCAACCAGTTTATTGCAGTTTATCATAACAAGGCGGTCCAAGAGACCTTGGTAGGTGACTTAGGTGAACATCACAACCTTGATGCGGTTTGTTCATCTTCATGATGTTCATCCTCGTATCAGGGTCCACAGTCAACTGATCCTGTAAACTGTTTCCTTGTGGCACAACCCCTTGGCTGCCACGCTTTTGAATTTCATGTGGCTAAAGTTGCACATTTCCCCTAATCTATTCAGTCATATCTATTCCATCATATTCCATCAACATACCTGACAATTCCTGAAAACATCCTTAAACAACCTTAAGCATCCATCAAAATGAAAGATATGCCGCAGCCATGGCCCAATGGCATGGCAGGTGAGGGCGTGCTCTTCGTTGAGCCTGAGATGGGCCGAGTAGTGACGCAGCGCCTGGGCTCCGGCCGTGTGTTGGCAGTAGACTCTCGTGGCTCGGCAGATGCCGAAGGTGGCGGCTTTGATGATGTTTCTGTAGAATATGTTGATATATTCATACAATACCTATACATATAATGTATAATATACAAATCATGTATAATATATATATATATACATTATCACATAGATATACGTATATATATATTAATTATCATATACATATATATATATATGATATATTATACACTTCTGCTATTTCTGTTGAGTGCTTCCAAGATGCAGGTTCAACTGATGTTCAACATTGAAACTGATCTAGACATCTTGCAGACCTCCGTCAAAGTGCGAGGGTGCGTCACAAATTTGGGTTTTCCGCGGTTCATTGTAAGCCTCCACCGAAGGAATTGAGAACAACACAGCCGCCACCGTCATTTACGTGGCTTGGCTCACACAGATAGTGCTGGAGTTGAGTGGAGCGATGTCAGTATCAACCGACCTGCGCAGCAACGAACTTGCCAAAGATCAGCATTTTTTTTTGGGGGGGGGGTTGGTTTCTGACAGGTAACAAATCCAGTGACTCTTCGTTTCTGGACACAACCTTTGTGGCGTGCCCCCGGCATTTCCATCATGAAACAGATTCCTGGCGCCTTGGCTCAACTGTCTCAACTGTCTCAACTGTGCTAAGTTTATTCCATGAGACAAGTCTGCCCTACACAGACATGCAACTTTCGCAACAGATTCGAACATTTTTGAGGCTGGAAAGGCAGCTTGGAAAGTGGCTGGGAGGATGAAGAGCTGCAGTTGCTTCGGACAGCCACCACTGGCGTCTCTTCAGCATCTCGGAGCAGATTTCAGCCGCATGATATGGTTTGTGTTAAGCCAGCTTTCCAGCACTGCCGGCAAACAATGCCCAGAAGGTCCAAGTCTGTATTATTTTGGATTCCTGGATTCTAGTGCAAACGTTGACATGCACATGTCATTACGTCAAGCCATGTCAAGCCATGAAGAAACGCTGACACGTTGCGTCGTTACGTCGTTACACAGTGAGTCTCACAGTGGCTGCTTCCAGCTGTCAGGATGAGCCTGTGCTTCAGCTCGTCCAGGGAAGGACGCCGAAAGATGAACAGAATTTGGGATATTTGGGATGGATCATGATGGATCCAAACATATCCAAACCTATTGGACCATTGGACCATTGGACCATTGGTTGTACCAATATTTTGGGGGGATGACGGGGATGAGTATCCATTTATCAGCTGTTGGGGAGGTGACCAGGGTACCAGGGTTTTGACCCTGCAATTGAAAGATACTCAACGAAAGTACTGTCTTCCGCCCTTTTGAGAGATATGTTCCACGATTTCCAACCAAGGTCACCGAAAAGTCTGGTGGGAGCAGTAGCCAATGGTTGCCTGCACAGCTGCTGCAAGGACGTATGCATTGAAGCTGCAACTTGAGGACAAGAATTCGCAGCTCATGCCACTTTGCGTGCAAGCTCGTGTTTGATGCAGTGAAGTGAGACAAATTTGACTATTTTGACTTGACATGACTTGACTTTTCGTATTTGGATTTGACATGATTTGACTGTCTCCTCACCAATGATTGCCAATGATCCAGTCAGTCCATCCCTCTGGGACTTGGTTTCCGGTCACGATGCGATCGATGCGCAGCTCCAAGGCAAATTCCCTTGAATCTGCGCGCGAAGGCATACTGCCAGGCAGTGAAAGATGGATGGAGATGGACCATACATTAGTTCATCATGTTATATCATGTTATATATAAGTTATATATAAGTTATGTATAAGTTATATATAAGTTATATATATATATAAGTTATATCATATTTCATCAGTGGATCAGATGACACTGCCATCTTTGGTCTTTGGGCCAAAATGCAGCAGGACAAGTTCATGCACCTGCCAAAGTTTAATTGCTGTGCATTGTTGGACAAGCCTTGCTTTTCAGACTTTTCAAGCTTTGTTTGCAGAATCTGGAGCTCGCAGGTTTCCAAAATCCGCATGATTCCAACACAGATATCATTGTGGCCCAATGAGGCCTAAATCAATGCCCCTGTGAGGCCTCCAATGCTTCAGCACCGCCTCTTCAACTTCTCCATCAGGCGTTTCCTGGGTAGCGGAAAAGGCCATGGCAGCGACGGGTGCTGTGGACAAAACCTCCAGGTTTTGAACACATAGCAGATTTTAGATGATTTTAGTATAGTAGAATTAATATGTCAATAGATTTCCTGGTTCTAAGATGCTGATTGTATAGTTGAAGATGCTTTGACACAGGTACATATTAATATTCACCATGTTCACCTCATCAAGTCACTGTCAGGTCACCACGAGTCAAAGCACTGCTAGTACCATGAAATAGTCAAATGTGTTCATTTGAAACTAGGGTACCCCACAGTCGACATGGATTATCACTTGTCTTTCTATGTTGGTTTTCCTAAGGTTTTGGCCAATGGGATAAACCATGATAAATCGGCGAGGCTCCCAATTCTGCTGTGCTGATCTTCAAGGCTGTTGAGCTGGGAGAGGCCGAGCATGGGAAGATGGGTTGCTCATGGTCCAGAAATGGGGTAAGGGGGTAATACAATGCAAACGTTTACAGTTACAGTTACAGTTACAGTAGACCCCCAGTCACTGTTTTACTGAAATCGGAAATGAATGGACATCATAACCAATTTAAGGATATCTTTTAGACTCTCCCCCTTTTGGAAATGCTGACATACCCACATCAAAGACATCTTCATGCGATTCACATCCTTTCATCGTTCTCCTTTTTCCAATGGCTCAGAGCCACAGTAGCTGCACTCAGTAGCTCCGTCCAGGGTCAGATCACCATTGAGAATCTGACCCTGGAAGCTGACAAGGATGACAAGGCGCAACTGGCTGCTACTATAGCTATTAGGCGATTCCCTATTGGATCCTATTGGCTCGATGTTGTTCGACGTTGGCCGAGTCAAATTCCCTTTTGTATTTGATGATTTTTGACGGGTCTCGCTGGACATTCTTTTCCATCAGTAGATGGCGGCTCTGCTTTCCAAGTCTTGATTAGAGGGACTCAAGAATTTGTATTCCAGGCGATCACAAACAAAAGCCCCTTGTACCCTCTGGCCTTGGAGATATTTGTTTCTTTGTGTCTTGAAGCAAAGACCCTGCGAATCCGGTCCAATCAAGAATAAAACTGTACCAAAACAAGTCTTGGAAGCCCCAAATTCCCACCTACCACATGACTCCGCGTTCAACCATTTTTTGTGAGGCTCGGAACTTGAACACCAAGACCCTGAAGCTGTTCGCGAAGCAGGTGGCCGTTGTTACAGTTTTTCAGTCGTGGAAGTGGTAGGAGTGAATGAAAACAGCCTGAGACAACAATTGAAGATAGCCGCAAATCTGCTTTGGCAGGCCTTCTACGTAGCTCCACAACTGGAACCCGTTGTGCCAGTTGGTGGGCCAATGTTGCTACCAAGGCGGACAGGGAAGGAAGCTGCCCCGCTGCCCATTTATTTGGCAATCCACATAGAGGAGACAGACGGATTTTGCATGATTTTGCGATGGTCATGATATGTCATGATGCTATTCAACATACACCTGGGAAGCCCAAGCCATTGCAGTTAAGAAGAGCTGCTGGCACCGGAGCCAAGCTCAACTTGCACAGGTGGCACTCCTATTTGCTCCAGGTTAGAGGAACCGGTCGGCAGGCCTGAATTTGAGTTTTGAAAGTTGTGAAACGCATTTCATTTTTGTTATTATCACTTGAGAACTCTATCTATTAGTCTCTTAGCATAGTACCCCCATCCTGGTCAAATCCGTGGAGATCCTTCAAGTGCTGCAGGTTTTTGCCATGCGCTCGCAGCCTGCCGGAGCAATCACTGTGTCACAAGATGGGAGAGTTCAGGCCAACACCAAGCGCCCAAGAGAGGGATAGCTGACCATCCCAACACAGCCTAGACCTAGGCCTAGGCCGTTTATGTTTGCACGATTCACCAAGACTGAAATTATGGTTTGCAACCCCAAGCAATACAGGCATTGTCTCATAAGGATCATAAGGATAAAACATATCTGCTTTCCAAAAGAAAGGCAGGCACAGTATGGCACTCTGGTGTTGAAAGTTGTGCTACAAGGCGGGTGGCCAGCTCGCCAATGGAGAGCTGACGGTTCAGGATGTGAGGACAGCTGATCTGCCCTTGGGAGAATTATCCCATCAGCACTTGCGGCCGTAAAAAATAATGATTTCAGAGGCTCCTTTATCGTCTCATATCGTCTCATATCGTCTCATATCGTCTCATATCGTCTCATATCGTCTCATATCGTCTCATATCGTCTCATATCGTCTCACCCTTTCAAAATCATCCTTTCGCTTGGCACTCTTTACCTCCGTCCTTGGTAACTTGGTGCTTGTGAGGGGGCTATCAACAGCCTCAGGTATGATGATGCATCAGCCGGGCGATTTGCTTGTGATGCAGGAACCCTCACAACAACTTCACCTTGAGGGTCTTGGTGAGAAGAGCAGGGCGGCTGGTTTTACAGCCGCGTGGCTGCATGGCTGGGAGGAAGTTTGACAAGTGGCTGCCAAGCTGATGTCACTCGTGTGATCCACTCAGGCCTCGATACCTTCAAATCCGCCTGCCCAGAGACAAGGTCACGGAACAGGATGAGGACAGTTTGGGGGCTCCATTGATTCCATTGCAACGGTGCAAGGAAGTCAGCAGACGTGAGGGCCTGTAGATATCTAGCTGGGCCCAACTGGTTTGGAAACATATTCAGCTCCAGTTCAGCTCATCAGCAGATGCCAAACTTGCTGCATGACCCATGAGGAGCCTGTGCTAGTGCGGGCCCGACCAGAGGATGGCAGTGAAGATGTGATGGGCCCAGTGCAGTTCATCGGCAGTATTGCTGTCAACACTTCTGTGCATAAATACAAATGATTACATGTGATGTGTAGTGATGTGCGGTGTGTCCCTAAGTATTTGTCCCAAGTACTCGCAGGTATAATTACTTTCCATAGTCCCTGCTGCATCGAAAATACAGATAACTGATGATAACTGATATCAACTAAATATCAACTGATATCAACTGGTGCTGAGGCTGATGTGTGCGAGGCCATGTGCCGCATGCTTCGAAGCTCGCCTTAAAAGTCCCGGGCGGGACCTTCGGGCTTTCTTTCCAGGCTTTGGAAGGGGTCGATCTTGGTCCAGTCAGGACATCGTGGGGTTTTATCACTCGATTTGAAGGCTCAGCTGTGCGAAGAAAGCAAGGAGGACACACTGAAGAACAACAGAACTAGTAGCTACCGTGCTTTATATAAACATCTTTAAATTACATTTGATTTTGTACGATTTTGAGTAGATCTCAACTGTAAGGGTTGTACTGTGGACTATGATGCTAAATAATTCCCCTTCGGCTTAGGAGCCGATTGTAGAAATTGTGGTGAGTTGTGGATCTTGAATCCGTGATTCTGAACTGCCTGACACTACGTACTGCGAGGGAAAATCAAGCTTGGCAGCGCTTGGGCCAGACATTTCTTGCAGCTCAGGAAATCTCACCTTTTGGAACTGTCAACCCGTCCTGTTTGGAGCTCTTCGCAACCAGCACAATGACTTTGGGCAAGCTACGCCAGTTTTGCTTTAACCGTTTAGCCATGTTTAGCCCATTGAAGAGGCACGGCTCTTTTCTCTTCAGAGCGCATAAGCGCAGAAGTGTCCAATCGGACTGTGGCCTCGGTTGGAACAGCATCTTCTGGCCGGCTACCCAGGATGTCAGTGATGTGTCGAGGATCCATGGCGGACCAAATGATTCTGTACACGCTGCCACACTTGGCTTTCCCTAAGCCACGCAAGGCGAAGCAGCCAGACATAGCCAAAACCTACCACTTGAATCCACTTGATGGATGATTCTTGATCCAAGGTCTCTTCGCCACTTGCAACATCATCCAAGTCAGGCAGCTGTTCTAAGTCGTGGGACATTTTTGGGACCGACGGACCGATGTGATGAGAGATGGAGTTTCTTGGAAGAAAGTGTGGACTTGCAGTAACACATGATCACAGAATATCACACATGCTTCCAATTCGAGATCGCTTAAACTTTGTGATGAAAGCACAGACCAATCATGTTTCGTCATGTTTCATAGCCATCGCCGGTTGGATCCATTTGGATCCATTTCATAGCCATTTGGGTTGTTGAAACTAGCCATGTTGGCTCAAAGTGCCACTGGGCAGAGCTATGGACAAATCTGCCATCCCAGCCCGGTCTCTCTCCCAAAATGAGCTCCTCCATGGACACCATAGAGATTGTGGGCGGCGTCCATGCTGGAACAAAGCGTTTGCAGCTTAAGTCCGTGTTGGAGCGGTATGGAGAGATCGACATTTGTCACAAGGATCGGCTGTGTTTAGATCATGAGATCATGTTAGATTGAGCAACTGACCAAACTGGAAGGGGCAGCATACGAAAGGGACAATTCAATTCGAAACTAGCAGCCTGTTAGCTGCCCACTGTTTATGGCTTAATTCGTAGCATTGATGGTTTTCCGAAGCCACTGTCAGCTGAAGCGATGTGTTCTTATTTTTTGAATTTATGCATTGACTCCAATCCTGCAGGTGGGTGACCCGATCCAGCACATTCCATGGGTGCGCTTCGTCAATGCTTCAGGAGCACGACAAGCCATGGATGCAATAGAGCGGCAAGAGGTGCTCATTGACGGTGTGGCCATCAAGGCAAGATGGAAGCCTCGTGGTAAAGACAACTTGGCAGATGAAAGGAAAGGCTATACGAGCCGGGATATCTTCTTGGCAGAAAAGGAGCGCAAGGGTGGTGGTGGTGGAGGTGGAAGTAGAGCGCTCATGCAGGAGAAAAGGCGTGGTTCCCGCAGCCGCAGCAACGGCAGGCGCAATGCTCGTGGCGGCGGTGGTGGCAGCAGGGCCTTGATGGATGATAGGCCTCGAGACCGGGATCGCGATGATCGACGCCGAGACGATCGATATGATGACAGGCGTCGGGATGACCGGGATGACCGGCGCCATGATGACAGAGGCCGCTACGATGACAGAGGTCGCCATGAAGACAGAGGCCGCTATGAAGACAGGCGAGGTGATGATAGGCGTGACGACCGACGTGATGATCGGCGTGACGACAGGTATGATGATCGCCATGAAGATAGGCGAAGGGCAGACAGCAGGGACGCGGGATCGCGCCGTAGTGGTCGTTTGTGAACGCTTGAGAATCCCTTGCCCAATTGAATGCAAAAAAGCGTCAGGAACTAACCATTGCTTGATTGTGTCAAGTACTGTCAAGTTTATCATTCACACTAGTGATGGGGTGTGGAGCGCTGATATTTTTGGAACTCAACTCCTCAATCAGTCATACGTAGGCCTTTGGCGCCTGGACGTTTCCAGCTCACAGCAAGAGCGCAGGAGGCGTGGGGCAGTTTCTTGTTTAATAACACGGACTGGAATACAGTCATGCCATGTCCCATGGATTTCTAGGATCTCATTGTGAAATAGTGCTCAGTGATCATGAGTCAGTGGGGTGAGCGAACAAAGGCACTCCTTATCACCTGACGCATTGATTGAGTTGTTTCCAGGCAGACGCATCGGAGCCGCTTCCATCAACACCACTTCCTTTCGAGGCTCCACCCGATGTGCTCGATCGCACCAAAAAGAGATAGTATGTAGCATAACAATGCATAACATATATTATGCATACTGCATATAATTATATACATATTAAAGATCGTACGACTCTAGCATACTCTAGCAGTATAATGTATAGAGCAAACAATAGAATCGTGAAAGTGACTCGCGAGAGTACCTTGTTTTGCTCGCACCTCCAGGTGTACAAACCGCTCGAGTGGCAGCTTTTGGGCGTCAAGGATCATGACGAGGCATGGGCATCCCATAAGGGACCCCAGGTTTGAGATGATGGAGATGGACAGTGACATGACGGTGACATCCGCATCTCATTCCCTTGGATTTCATTGGATAAGGGCGCTTCCCAAAGATTTTGGAATATTTTGGATATTTTGGGGCTGGAGATTTCATTGGAAACCTTGGAAACCCTTCATGGCAACTCCGGTGGATATGAGGTAGCTGCAGCACAAGCGGATCAGGCTGCTGCCTTGGTGCGAGCCTTAGAGCTTATGGATTTTTGATGAATTTTGGTCAATTGAGATCCAATTCCGTGATCCAAAGAACAAAGTGGCCGGCCAATGTGAACTTGGAGGTGCTGGCGCCCTGTTCCTCCATTCGCCTTCGATTGGCGGAGGGCCCCAGACAGATGACTGTGCCAGGCGCAGACTGGGCGTGCACGGTTATGTGGTGGGAATGGTTGGAGTGTTTGGCTGCAGATGGCTGCAGATCAAAATCAGAACTCCTAAATTGATCTAAATTGTCGTGACAAAGATAGGGCAAATCCTTGCGAGTGCTGTTATGTTGAAAGTCAAAGCCAGTATAGGCCTATTGTGTTGTAAACAGCTTCTGGCTGCTCTAAACTCCAGCACCTTTATACAGTATCTCTGTATTTGACGATCTAAGGGTTCTCAAGGCTTTTTGTCGATTGAAAGACATGACACCATCTCAATCCTGGCATATCCCAAACGACAGGCCGTGACTCCTGGAACTTGACCGTGGGCCCTCACATCAGCGTGCAGCCGTCTGAGAAACCATGCTGGAGAACCCTATGTGAAAAGATGGGGTAGTGTTGGTATTGACGGGCTTCATTAGTAGCGGATTCTGAAGTTTTCACACTTTTTGGATCTTTTTGGATCTTTTTGGAAACAAAAGAAAGAATCCCAAACGGAGCCCAAACATCACCACATAACTCACAGGACCTGACAGGACCTGACACCCCCCACAGCTCTTGGTGTCATATGGCATCCTGTGGCGTCCCAGGTCGCGCATTGGATCCAGGAGTTTTCAGGTGACCTGCATGCAAGTCACTCCAGGCCAGGGCCGGGTCCGTCGAAGTGGGGGTCAACATGGGTTGAGACCAGTGCCCTGGACTGTCGAAGGTGCCAGGTGATTTAGTTCGAAATTGAAGGTAGATGTAGAACTGTTGCATCGAAATAACATGAAATAATATAATATATATATATATTTATTATTATTATTACAATATGTTATATATAGTATATTATATATTATATTTAGATGTTTTTGGTGGAGCCAGAGCTTGGTCAGGATGTGAAACAGTTACATGTCCATTGATCTCATTTGAGTGTCATCCATACATGCAAATCTAAAGGAGGAAAGGGAGTCAGATGTATGACCTCGCTTGAGCTTGTTGTGCCCCAAATTCATCACGCAAGCGAAATACGTTTCGCTAGAAGGCGCATAGCCCCGCAGATCTTATTGTTTTATTTTCCCATTGGACCAGTGTATTTCTTGCCAAAAAACGGCACTTGTGCGAAGGACCCGTGCGACTCAAAGGACAAGTCACGTGAAGCTGCCGCATTACTTTCTCAGCTCTATGGGAAGCATCCTGTGACTGAAGTAAGGCTATCATATACATTCATACACTATATAATCTATATAGCTGGTGCTGTAAATCATGATGAAACTACCGTGAGTTGGAGATCAATCAAAATGGCTGAACTGTTCAACCACACTACCACGCAACCTTTGTAGCACCCATTCAGATGACAGGCATGCTCCATCTGACCCTTTACATGGAGAGGTTTTTGCCAAAACCTCAGCATTTGTTGAAATTCATACGAGGAACCTGCCAAAGAAATTCGATTCTCCTCACGGTTTGCCTAAAAGTGACGCATGCAAATAAATATAGCTTGTTTGGGTACCCAACCCCCTTGGTTGTGCTTGATTTCGGAAGTTTGATCTTCCTGAATGCTTCATCTCTCTACATGAGATTTGAACCACCTGGGTCACCTGACCATTCCAGGTGGACAACCTGACCCTTTGGATGAGATGCTCAGTCCCCGCCAGAGTGCAGGTGCCAGGATAGTGTCAAGACGGCGCCACAGCGTCCATTCTCGCGTGAATTGCATGGTGCACTGAAGGAAACCCTTTGGTTTGCCGTGAAACTACTTGGTCTGCCTTCAATTGCCTTCATATTTGATAGGTGGAGTATAGTAGCGGTTATGGCTATGAACAGTCATCGACGTGTCATAGAAGAGAGGTTGGTTTCAAATTTGATGCGGATGAGGGTAGCAAAACCAAGCTCAGCATTGCAGGCAGTGGCAGAAGTGGATGACTTGGAGGATGAAGCTGTGGTGGACAAGGCAGCCTGACGAAGCTGCGGAATGGCCTGGTACATCTTTGGAAAAAGGTAGCTGGCAGTTCGATTTTGGAGCACCACACAGTGGAAGGGAAATGCCAGCCAATTGCAATCCACGGAAAATATCGGTTTGTGATTGTGCAATGCTTCTAGGAGCCGCTCAGTTGTCTCTGACCATGCCGTTTGACAGGAACCAAGACTTGCCTTGGGAGTGCAGCTGTGCCCTTAGATGGGAAGCAAGTGCAGCAAATGGTGAGCATGTCCAGGAAGTGTCAACATTGTTCCAACTCAGGCGTGGACAGGCAACGCCTTTTCGTGCCCGCTTTGTCGATGCCTTTGGCAGGAGACACTGCCAGCATGGTCTGCGCTGACTGATGGATGGATGCCCATGACAACTGACAGAAATTAAGATTGCATGATATTATGTATATACACAGTACTGTATACATTAATGCATACAGAACTATCAAACCATGTTCGAGACTTTGTCAATGTACAAGGTCTCTGCTTGATACTCTTTGATACTTTTCTGATCTTTTCTGTTTCATCCTGTGATGCAGCCTGGCTCCACAGCTGCTGTACAGGACCATGATCAATGCATCAGAATACATGCTGCGATGGTCGTTGTCTCCAAGCTCCAAAGAAGGTGTTCCTTTTCAGAAGGCGCGGGTGAACAGCGGCTCTTTTGAAATGCTTCTTCACTCCAGTTGCGATTCGAAGACCCCTTTGAGATCTTTGCGTTGTACCTGACGTGCTATCGTTGTGACTTAGGCTTGGCTCGCCATCAAAAAGGAGAGCTGGGATCAGTGGAGAGATGTGGAGAGAATGCAAGAGATCAACGACATGACCGTTCCAGGAAGCAGCAAGCATGAATTAAACTAGAAGTACAATGAAGTACAATGAAGTACTAAGTACAATGATGTACAATGATGTACAAGCACACAACAATTCTTTGACTGCAGGTAGAAGACAGGTATTTAAAAATATTGAATTATTGAAATCCTCACGGCATGCAGAGACTATCTGCGACCCAAGGAGACCTCCGCTGCCTCCATCAACGTTCCTAAGGATGCAACAGTTGGTGCCACTGCCAAGCTCGGCTTAGAGGCAAGTGGGATTGGCTGATAGGCCATATGGTACTTTGGCTCAGCCACGAATCGAGTGGCTTTGTGATGCATCAAGTTCTGTTGAACAAAAAGCTGTACCACCATCTATAACCGTCCCCAAAGCACTGCAGAATTTCTTGCACCATTTTGCCACTTCTGATCTTACCAGCTGGGCACAAGTAGCGATGTCACAGCACGACTTGTGCTAGGTTTTGTTGCCACCGGCAAGTCTTTGCCAAAACAGTTCCATGGCCACATTGGCTGCCCTTCCACTGCCCAGCAGTGATGAACTACCAGTGGTGGTGGCCAGGAAATTGGATGCTTGACCTGCTATGGTGCTGCATAGTTTTAGGCACGATGCAAAGCAAAGCTTTGAGGATTGAAGAGCACTTAGTGTATGACTGGTGAGTGTGAGATTCAGATTGAATGACAGTTGTGTTTTTTGAGCATTGTGACACGGGTACATTACTAGTTGCGCGGAACCGTGTGGAGATGCCATGCCCCAAGGAACTACGATGGCCAGGACATCCTCAAAAAGCGCGCTTTGCGATGTTCAAGAATTTGACACCTGGCTGAGCCTGGCCACGAGATCGCAGTTTCAATCTGGAAGCTGTTGTATCTATTGTTTGGGTAGGGACTAAAAGCACATCTCCCACATCCAACCCTGAGACTACTGCAAGTCCATTTGTTCTAAGACGGTGTTTGTGCATTCCTGCACCCCAAGTGCTCAGTATTCAGTATTCACAAATCAACAAACAGTGATAGATGAAGGGAACTGTGATTGGGGTTTTGCAGCCATTGCAGCCACAGGTCTATCGTTGTGGAAGCTGGCTTTGGCACTGGGCGGGCACGCCTTGAGATCCTTTCGGGCCACGACATATTGAAGGCTGGAGCTCCTTCTGACTTTGTTGCTTTGATTTCAGGGGTACAGCACGCCTTTAATCTGCTCATTGGCAGTCTGACAGCTTCGCCCTGATTTTGACATTACCAGGTCTTGGAACCTTCACAGATTTGTGGTGGACACGAGCTGTCAACAGCACCTTGTGTGCCAGCCAAGAGCTCAGGAATGGAAGTCAGTGCAAATCTGACCACCTCGACCCAGGATTCCGGTGTACGAAATTGTTGGGTCACATATTGCTGACTTTTCCTAACTCTTTAAAGGTGTGGCAAGAACTGAGAAGATCAATGGTAGCACTGGCCTGTAGCGTCCTTGCTAAGAAAACCTCAACTATGAGGAGCAAACAAAAAGTTATCCTACATGGACCAAGGCTCTGTGGATTGGGTCCCCATGCAATGCGTCGAGAGCAGACGATGTTCAACGTTGGTTTCTGCTTCCCTTTGGTCAAGGCCACGTTGATTCTGCACTGTGCCCTTGCCCCACAATCGTCCGCAATCAATCACAGCCTCATCAATATCCAAACGCCGCTAACTAAATCATACAAGTGATAAGGGCCTGCAACTGAGCGTGTGCAAAAGAAATCACTGAAAAGGCCTTGTTTCCTCGAACATCGAGCTGCCTCCACCCGTGGACTCATCGTAAAGCCTCATTCATCCCGTTACCATGCTGGCAGTGGTCATGATGGTAGCGATGACACCTGAGCTGACCATGGCCAGGCACGGCTTCGCTGGCGTTTTGGGACCCAGACCTTGTGGGAGCCCGACCTCAACCACTGGAAGTGACCATCCGTGCAGCCAAACAGCTGGATGTGAGCTTGCTGGGAGAGGATGGGAACAGCAAAGCGGATATCCATGGTATATCCTGGGTACGGTTGCATTGGGCATCGTAGGGCTTCATGAAACATTCTGGTGTTCAAACGAAGTTCTGTGGATGGGCTGGTGACTTGGAGCCTCATTGGATTTAGACTTATTCATACTTATTCTATAGGATTTGATTGGTCGATTGCTTTGAGAAGCTTCAACCTCCATACTCCAAAACATCTACAAGACGAGGCGTCGACAGCAACACAACCTGAACCTGTTGCTGATCTTGGTTCAAAGTTGTCTTTTTCCCACCTCAGTAAAATGTAGTAAAATGATTTTGGATCTGTTTTGGGTGTGTTGGAGCGCACCCGACCTGGTCGCAGGACACATCCCACGACGGCCGCACAGTGCTTGTGGTGCGCGGCACAGATCGGCCCTTGCGCGTTGATGTACGAGATGCCGATGGACAGGCTGGGTGGGGTAGAACATGAAGAATGTAGATCTGAATTTCAGCAGCAGAAAGTATAGAGGCCATTACCGGTTATTGCCATTGGACACAATTTTGTCAAGTCATTTAGTTGGGTTCTGTATATATATATAAATATGTATACTGTATATGTGTATATATATATATTGATTGGAAGTCCCGCAGCGCTTCTAACTGGATTCGCTGCGGACATGTTTTTTGTTTTTTTTGAATCAGTACAAAGACCATCAAAGACCAGTATCAGTATCAGTAGCAATGTTATTTCAGTCCTTTTGCCAGCCATGTTTGCCATTGCGACATTTGATCGTGTCTCATCCGAGCTGCTGTAGGCACTTGGCATGGTGAATTGGCTGCCTTTGGGACTTAAGGTGCACAGCAGTGACCCAGGACACTCCATAAATTTCTGACATAGCAGTCACTAACAGTTACTGGAGTTTTCCACAGATTATGAAAAGTGGATGACAGGAGCTTTAGAGGTGAAGAATTCAAGCAGATGCGGAGAATACGAGTGCCTTTGGTGCTGCAAAGCCAGATTTTTTTCCACAAAATCCAGATCAAACATGATCAAACTCATCAAAACTGGTCACAAAGACTGTTCGAGACCTCGCCACGACGCATCGCCAGAAATTGCCAGGAATAGGCATTGTTTAGAAAATGGGCTGCAGCTTGAGGTGCCTTTGTCATACCCCTGGGACCTACAGGCTCTTTGCAGACATGCAGGACATTGCAGGTTGGTGCACCGTTAATTTCATGATTCTATTCCAAGAGGTGGTGCGTGCTTCTCCACGAGGCATCCTGAAACCACCTGTTTTCCATCATCTGGTATGGACGTGGACCATTGGAGCCAATTTTTGAGGCCATTTTGAGTCGAAGTACCTGACAGGACTATCCAAATGGTACTATCCATTCACGCGTCCTACATGTTGAATGCTTGCCAGAGTTGGCTGCTCAATTGGCCGCCCATTGACCAGTTTAGATTTACATCCAGGACCGTCCCCACATGAAGTGTCGATGCTAAGGTTTGATGTGGTGCTCAAAGATATCGTGGTGATGCCCGGGCAAGCCTTTGAGCTGGCCTTCACTGGGGGCCCTACCAAGAATGAACGCACCTACTTCGACTATGTATCCAGTGCTCCAGATGTTGTAAGTGTTGACCTCGGAATATGTTTGACTGTTTGATGATGTTAGATGAACCAGAAGCGAGAGGAGTCAAGTCAAGTCAGTTCATGGGTATTTCATTGAACTTCATGGGTCAGGCAACAGTCATTTATTGGTCATTTATGGTCATTTCATCATCTCAGATTGCCTGGCATCCCTGGCATCCCCTAAGGCATTGACAACGAGGTGGGTTTGGTTCTCGCTCTGAAACCTGGTGAAGCCGACCTGTCGGTGCGGCTTCTGGAGCGACCCTCTGGACGTGAGATTGCACGGAAAGGACAGGGTTCCTGGGGATGGGTTCCTCGCTGGGACCGGAGATGCGTTCCGGATGCCGGAAGTCCATAGAAATCCACTGTAGAAATATGTAGAAATATGTAGAAATCCCATGTCAATGCACCTGCTTTGGATGACAGAGGATGATCTCAAGATGCTCCCAGTGATATTGAACTTTGAGGATTGTGTACATAGTCCTATCGACACACATAGTCACGCATACATGTTGTATGCTTGTACAGTGTTGATCTATATTGTACTTATAACTTATATATGTTGTTGTTCATTTATCTACTGCCTTAAAAAAAAAGAAACTTATTTGTCTACATTTATTCATTTTTTCCTCATGTGTTCATTTATCTTTCCTCACTTCGCATGCCCCTCGAGGAGCCCATGTTACAGTCAGGGTGCCGACAGCTGCATCCATTGGGGCGGTAGAGTCCTTGACAGGACAGGGGTGGTGTCGCGGTGCTGAGCAACGAAATACCAACCATTGAGGCCCATAAGATGATAGATGATAGTATGATATCACGTATGATATAGATGTGTATAGATTAATATAGTATGATTAGCATCGATTAGCTATGATTAGAAATATGACGAAATATGGATAATTAGATAGAACGGTAAAAATAGATTCAATTTGGATTCTATAGATATGGCGGAGAGGTAGCCAACAGACATATGGCCATAGGGATGGCGAAGTTTCGATATGTTTCGATGAGATTCCAGGAGCTTCCAAGGAAGAGACCTCACCAGCCTTGCTGAGAGAGTTGGAGGATCCCCTGCGGCTCAGAGCCCGGATTTGGTCTGGCAACTTGGCAGACATTGGAGTTTTGTTCCATAATCACGATGGTTTGCAGGAGATGTTTACTGTCAGAGTGGCCTTTGAAACAGTTAAAACAACATGTTGTTAAAACAACATGTTTATAAAACATAAAACCAATGTATCTTTGATTGGGCCCCATCATGCTTTAACCACAGGGAATCGCTGTGCTGTGCTTGCGGACAGGTGACTTGGAATTGACGCCATTGCTTCTGGCCTTGGCTGCCAGCAAGGCCACGCTTTTGCAGGAAGAAGACGACTTGAGCTTCAAAGTTTCCAAACATAGCACAGCATTGGATATCATTGGATCATACGAGGTGAGCCCCTTGACCAGCAACTTGAAGGGCAAGAACCTGCTGACAACGGCATTGGACATGGGTGAGACCATAGTTGAGGCCACAGAGGCGTGTTGAAGTTGCAGCGTTTCCGCCATAGATTGCATTGTTGGTCAACAGCCTTGGAATTCAAACACAGGGAGTTTGTATTCAAAGCCACCTAGTCGCTCTGAAGGCTGCCAGCCAAACTGCGCTGCAGCTGGCCACCTCAAGCGGTTTATCTGGAAGTGATGCAGCGAATGCAGCAGCTGCCCATGGAGTTTCTTGCCGTTTCATATGGACCACGGATCCCTCTGTCTCTCTGACATCGGGAATTGGGGTTTGGCACTCAGAAGCTTTGGCACTTGGAGCTGTGGCCTTTAATTGCAAACATGGCAGTGCAAGAAGTGCACAAGAAACTGCTGTAGAACCCGATCAGTTTGTGTTCCGGAACCTTCCAGAGCTGAGTAAGTCTTACTCTAAATGACTCTAAACATCTCTAAACTCTAAATACGCAATAAATACGCATAAATAAATCATAAATATTCATAAATAAGATACCTTGAGAATTACGTCTTCCTTTTCCAAGCTTCCAAAAGGGTGCCCTCATCCCAGGCCCTTGCAGTGGAGCTTCGAGCCAATGCTAGCAGCCCCGAGCAGCTGGAGATTTCCCTCGTGGCAGAATGCCCCTTGGGCCGTGGATACGAGAGCCTGCAGCTGGAGGTGCTTGACAATTCCGGCTTCTTGCTAATTGCGCGCGAATGTTCCTTGAACACTTGATAGCAGCTTGATGCAGGCGAAAACCGTTCTGCCTGTGCTGCCGATGCTGAAGCTGTTGGTTCCAACAGGCTTGTCTAGACGAAGCTGCAAGACCCCCATGCTGCAGTGTCTGCAGATCCAAATGTTGCTTGGTCAGGTCCATGTTCGGCATATCCTCGCATCCTTGTCCGTACCCAAGATGGTGAGGCAACATCACCAGTGTATTTGGTCAATCCTTGTATGTGAATGTATGTGAATGCAATGTATGTGAAAATTGTAAGTGGTTATAATTCAGAATTGCATATGGAACATGAAACCCTTGAGTGATTCAGCGACTTGTGCCAACGTGGGTCAAACATGGCCAAACCGCTGACACTCTCAAACTTGGAAGTGTTGAAGAACATGGTAACCTCTCTGGAACCCTTGAAAGCCCATCCATCTGGGGAACTGTGGACCTATGAGGTTCCCTTGCATGGACGAGTCCCTCTTAGCTTTAGTATGCCTCGATCGCAACTCAAGGCGGCTCAGTGATTCAAATAGGCTACAAGGGTCTCAACTTGGTCAAACAGGCAGAGATGTCGAGAGTTGTTGAGAGTTTGGTGCAGAGCCAGCTGAACACCAGCTGAACATCCTTCCTAAGGAAGTACTTGAGCATCTCAGCATGGCCAGGTAGAGATTTTGGGTGGAGCAGCGGTGCAGCTGATAGAGACAGCAGAAATGGCGGCAGCCTCAAAGACGACTCAAAGAGCACAATCTCTTGTCAGATTTGGGCAGCAGATTTCAACGTGCCCTTCAACTCTAACTCTACTCAGATGGATATTGGGCTGTTTCATCGGATTTTCCTAAGCTGCAATGACCCAAGAGCTGCCATATAGTGCCACATGGGTTTGTACCGATCAGTTGAATGAGTTCTGTGAGTCTGAGCAAATCCTTTGAAAAAAAATGTTCTTCGCATCCCAACTTGCCCCAACAACATGTGGGGTGACAACGAAGGTGGAAGTTGAAGCTGGACTGACCGAAGGAGAGGCCTCATTGAAAGTGGAGGCATGTGGGCGTAGAGATGGTTTCTGATGTTTCCAGTCAGCTCACCGGCAAGATCAGTTGGAGTGTAAGGCTTTGATGGCCGCGGTGTATAGCTGTTGCGTTGGGTCTTTCTGGCAGGTGCTGGCTTCTCTTTACAGTCCTCCAATGGAAATCTCAGTCCGCACTTCAGAAACTGTTGAGTCTCATGTGTGGGGCCATCAGTTTGGCCCACAGGGTGCTACTTAGCTACTTTCATTACTCTTAATGGGACTTGGTGTGTCCTTAGCTTCTCAAGGTTGAGCCCAGAAAAAACCAGACATTGCCAGAGATCTTCCATTTTGTCCAGCGTTTCAGAGCCCGCAGGGGAAACCCGCGCTGCGCAGGTGTCCAGCCGCAAGGTTTTTGCAGCACGCATGGATTCTGTTCCATCCAGGTGCGCCTTCAGCGATAGACATTCACAGCAGTGATGGTTGGGCCTTAGGCAGGTTGCATCACTCTGGCAGGAAGGTGATGTGTTCGTTTGTGGATGTACTTCCTGAGAGAATGCCTCACACGTTGCCAGACCTCAGGCTACCGTTGAGTGCAAGCGCTGTGTGCCCTTTGTTCCTGGTAGATGTGCCGACCCAAGACGGGAATATATGAACAAAGGGAACATGCCCCAAGATGCCTCAAGCCTCAAGATGGCTCAGCAAATCTCAGCAACCACGTGTACCCGTGTACCCTTCAGTTTCGTGAAATCTTCGGCGAGTTTGGCTTGTTTGGATATGTTTGGATGTGGATTTAGCCTGGTGACGTTGCAGGCGACTGGTCAGATCTTGACGCTGCCCAGCAATTTCCAGGCAAAGCTCAGCTTGGTCTTTGTGGAGAACTCAACCTGCTCAACCTTGCTGCACCTTGCAATGGCAGGTTGAGGCAAGCTCCAGTTTAACATCCGTGGTGACAGCAGAGGCGGGCCTTTGCCACATTGCAGACCCAAAGAGTATTCAAAGACTTGTAGCAAACATATGCAGGGGGTCCTCTTGGAGCATTCCCTTGAGGAATTCCAGTACTGTACCATGCCAGCACGGCTCTGTTGAGGCTGAGACATTTGCTGGTGGCGCTGCATTGCACTTGCGTGCAGTTGGCGAGGCTTGCTGTGTCTCTCACTATGTCAAGACAGGTTCGGTGTCCACATCGTTCCGCAATGTTGCTGCATGATGTCACATGTCGTTCCACATGATTTTTTTGCTGCTCTTGCTGTCAGGGCTGCACCCTGCTGAGCTTTGTTGTTCGACTGCCGGATTCAAGGCTCACTCGCAGACTGCCGGCTCACTGGTTGCTTGTGACACCAGAAGAGAAGCACCTTATGGTTAGAACAGCAACCTGTAAGCCTCTATGAACCTCAGATGGGCGTTCTCTTTGCTGTCCTTCGTGAATCAAGTGCCTGCAGGCAGCTGCCCTCAGACATTGCAGAGGTCTGTGTGGTTCAAGGTGCTTTGGTCGGTCATGGGCCACTCTTGGTTCAGTTGACGCCTTAGCCAAAAGATGCTGCATGGACATGCATGGACTAGAGTTCACAGAGGCAGAGGAGGATGCTGTGAGATGTAGAATCGGAGAATAGACCTTTTGGAACGCAGACAGCATTAGTTCACCAAGGCAGGACAATATTGTAGAAGCTGTTGTAATTGAGTGTCATTGCTTTTTTGCTTTTTATGCACTCTAGGCCAGGAGCGCGGCTGAACCTGGACGCAGAAGAATTTGCATCCACCCGAGGCTGGTTTGCGTAGAAGAATCCACTGCAATATGTGCCCCATCCATGCCATGGCCATGCCATGGCCATGCCATGGCCATGGCCCATGACTAGATGAAGTCTTTGCTGACCAGGCTTCAGTTCTGGAAGACCACCCATCGCCAGAGCCCTAGGTGAAGATCAGTACCTCTCAAACCTTGTCCAGGAGGTCACTAGAACAAGAGCTCCAAGACACTCAGAAGATGCTGTTTCCATCTGTTTGCAGTCATGGTTGATGCTTCTTGCAACTTCTTGCATTCCTTTTTAGATCCTTTTGTTATCTTTTGGTTCTTTTTGGCCTTTTGCACCGGTGTGCACGACGGATCGCCTACAGAGGCCTTTTCACTGCGCTTGCTGGAGCTGCCCAGCAGTTGCAGGCTGGGGACAGAGCAATAGATGGCTGAAGTTTGCTTGACAGCTGATGGTGCTTCCATAGAGCATTATATTGTACTTATTGATACTTATTGTATCTTATTGTACTCTTGGGGGCCTAGCTTGAACCAAGTTGTTGCATTCCACTGAGTCCAACAAGTCCGAAGATTGCCAATAACTCGACATCCTGAAGTGAATGAACAGACAGAACCAACCCAAACAGAGTCTACAACATCAATCCGATGGAATCATCACATTAAACCTTAGCAAAATTCGCTGATGTGCTCTAGGCACTCAGTGAAGCAGCAGGGTCGTGATTCAACCCATGTCATTTGTGAAGAGTATCGTAAGTATCGTCCAATTCCGCAACAGGAACCATTGAAAGTCGATGTTGTAATTTAGGCGCCTAAAATTCTGAAATGGTCAACATGCGACTGGCACCTTGAAGGACTTTGGAGGAAGCTGCATCCTCATTGGCCAAGGATCTCTCAGAAACACTGGCTGAAGGCCGGTTTAGCCAAATCGAGGGCGACGGTAATACTGTCCATTGGTTGCGGTACATGTTTCCCTCGTGAGACACCAAGTTCTAGGTAAGGTGTTCTGAACAAAGCCATCCCTCACGTTTCGCCTTGAGAGGTTTGGCCAAACGTGGAGGGCGAAGCAGAGCCTTGCCAATTGAGGCAAGGATGCAGAGTCAGCAACAAGTTCAATTGGACCCGCTGAACTGTAAGAACAAGCTTGGGTAGAGTGAATGATGTGAATGGCTTAGTTCATTCATTTTACTGAATTTTGCTTCGATCTTCGCACGGTGATGAGCGGTATCAAGTTGGACGCTGGACTGGAAGCCAAATCTGAATGATTGCAGTTTGGGCCAGGGATCGACCCAAAGCAAATGGATGACACGATATGTTGACACGTGAATCCTGGGACGCTGATGCCTATTGGTTCGTACGAACTATGCTCAGATGAAGATGCCTGTCAGGTCACAGCAACTGCGGCTAGATATGCCATTCGGCAGGCAGGGCATCACCAGCGTCACCTTTTCATCAGCCATGCAGACTCGGATGAAGACCGTAGTCATTGCAGTTTTTTCATGCATGTAGTCAACTGGAGAAGCATCAGCAACTGATGAACCTTCTGGCAGGCAGAGAATGTGTTTGTGGAGGTGGAAGTTGACCTGCAGGTGCCAATGCCATGTGTTTCCGTGAACTCATGTGGGCCATGCCAATTGCTTGATGAAACTCACTGAGCCACTGAAATCCACCTGGACGAAGAAGACTGGGAAAATGTGTCTACGCAGCTAATGACCTCGTACTGATCTACCAGACAGGCCCATCAACCTAGCACCCCGGGATGATATTTCTCCAGACAAAGCCGGACATGGCTGGACAACCGCAAGGTCTCAGCCAGTGACCTTGGCGAGGCATGGTCCAGATTGAGAATATATATGACATTTTTTCATACATGATACATTGTGATGATGATGATGATGATGATGATGATGATGGTGGTAAAATAATGATTGACCATGGTTGGCCATTTTTGATAATGGATAACACGTAACGTAATCTAAGGTACAGCAATGTAGTGTCACGCAAGACGATGTAAGGTAGGGTATGCCATGGTATGGTACGAAAATATACATATACATAATTATATATTATTATATATATATATACACATCTACGTATATGCGTATATATATACATATATATATACATATATATATATACACATATATATATACATATGTATATATATATATATTATGTGATTATATATGTATGTTTGTGTGCGTTCTGCATGGATGTATCTTTATATCACACGTCAAGGATGCAAGAGTCGCAACAGTTCATTGAATGACTGCCTGTTCAACAGGCTGCTGGAGAAAGTGGAGAACTGGGCCTATTCGATTTGGCGGAGGTGTTGTGGCAGGAGCACCACTGCATCATACTGCACCAGCGGAACCTGCGTGCCTTGAGATCTCACCAAAGTCAGCACAGGAGAATGTTTCAAGAAGTGAAACGTGCGGATCCAAGTGACTATTACTGGTGAGTTATGATAATATGACATGATTTGGCATTAGGGTTGCGTTGTGCGTTGTGGAAACGAGATGAGCAGCCGAGGCTCCAACTGTTGGACCGTTCTTGGGGAGTTCATGGCGCTGCAAAGGCGGAGAGACTGATTTTGGACCCATGGGCAGTTGAGCTGGTCATAGCTGTCGTAGTCGTAGTTTGTCCAGATATGCTCAGGTCAAATCAGGTCACCGGTTTGGGTCGGGATATGTTGGGATCGTAGTCTGGGGCCACTGGGGTTGCCTCGTTATGTCCGTGACCTGAGCTTCGAAGGCCAGCAGTCTTTCAGACCAACGCTGCGAGGGCTGTTGCGTTTGCATCCCAAAGATCGCAAAAGGTCATAAGGAGTCATGATTGGAACGAAACGGCATATCAAAAGCATTCGAAATTGCCAAAGTTGGAAACTGGAGAACCATTTTCAATCATTTTCATTCATGTTCATGCAGTTTCATCCATTTCCAATACGCGTTGGCTTGAGGTCCCTTCCTCTAGATGTCGCTCTTGCTGCCACCAGGCTCCCAGAGTTTGTGGCAAGTTGCCAAGCTGCACTGCAGACCTGGATAGTCATTGTGTACCTGTTGAAAGACGAGGTTTCCAATGCTTCCATGGACGCGGATGCACATTGGATACACCATCCCAAACTCCCAAACCATGGGATGATTGATGCTTTGCCAAGGTCCGGATCTATTGCAGGATGGTCCTCGACACATCCCCGCTCTGTGGCGGTGGAAGCTGTTGGTGCTTCACCGCATGCCATCGCGCAAGCACCAGGCGAGGCGGCGAGGTGACCGTAGATATATTATGATTGTATATGATTGTTATGAATTATTCTGATATATTAAATGTGTATATGTATATATATATATGTATTTAGATTCGGTCATGAGTTCCTTGGTTTTGATGATTTGACTTCAACTGCAGAAGCCTACTCTGGAATCAGCTCGATCGGTTGTCTCCGCTGCAGACTGTCGGATTATCATGGTGCCGTATGGTGCCAATTATCTTGATTTATGTTGAATATCCTATTCACCAGTGACGTGTGATTTTGTGTATCTTCTGCCACAAGAGGTGTCGCCACCCTGCACTACTGCGATGGCATTGTCTCAGCTGATATTCAGGCTAAACGCCATTTGACATCCAACTGTTTTTCTGTGTTCGTAGACTTGGTTTGCAGACATTTCAGCAGAATTTGGGACAGCCGATATGGGAAGAAAGCATTCTTGGAAGATATCCACCCCGCACTATTGCCCACTGTCTTGGATTATTACGACGCAAAGGGATCATAGGATGATCATAGAATGATCATAGGATGATCATAGGATGATCATAGGATGATCATAGGATGATCATAGGATGATCATAGGATGATCATAGGATGATCATGGGATGATCATGGGATGATCATAGGATATCCATCTCGAGCAAGACTTCCTCATCCAGTCGCACTGGACAGGTGATTGTGTCTCGTCCTGGTGAGCTACTTCCAGAGCCACCACAGGTTTGGCAGCGATGAATTCACCCAGCGATGTTGAGCGGGGGTGGAATTCTGTTGAACTGAACTTGATGCACATTTGATAGTGGCGATCAAGGGTCAGTTGCCCAATGCCAAAATTCCAGGGCGGTCCAACAGAGGCACTTCGAGCCCGAAATCTGCTGTCCAACCAGGCAGGGGAGGCTACACCTTACTGTACTGTGATTTGTTGTACTGGCTGTATCATTGTATGCTGATAATTGATCATATCACTCTCCAATAATACTCTCCATATAATATATATATATATACATACATACACACACATATATATATATATATATATCCATATCATATATATATATAGTATTGTTCACACTTCACTGAGAGACTGGCTTGATGACACTCCACAGCTCAAGTCCAGCCACAAATATGTCTAGGTCAGTTCGCAGCTGGCAGTCAGCTTTCGATCATTCAGAGAGGCTGGACATTCGTCATTGTGTCTGATAGTTGTCCAGTGCGGAACCTGGCTACATCGTGCTGCGATATGAACATGGAGGTAGTTCGCTTGTCCTAGTGCCAGAAACAACACAAAATAGTGTTTCAATGTGTTTCACATGTTGGGAGGTATGCTGCTTTGTTAGGGAGGGCAAAGTTGGCCTTGCTAGCGGAGATATTCTCCCACAAGCCTGTTTGCATCGGCAAAATGGCAGGGTGGTACCCAGACAGAGGACGAGCTTCGGCATTGGGCACAGATCTGACGCTGCGATTTTGAATGCGATTTATCACGTGTCCAGCACTGTGGCACCGTGTTTGTTTCAGGTCTGGCCCCTTCGTTGCGCAGAACATTCGGCTGGTGTGCGAGCCCATGGAGGCTCGAAAACAGAGTTGTAGATCCATCTCATTCTATATACGTATATATATATAATTATATATATATTATAATTATATATATTTTATATGTCATATATTATATAATATCACGATACATCAAGAATGAAAGTTAGCTCTACATGCCATGAAGTACAGCATAGTACAGCCATACAGTGATCAAATTCGACGACATTAAACAACATTCAAGAAGACTTAAACCAACAGATTTTTGGCCATGGATTGTTTTCGACGTTTCGGATCGTTTCGGACAGGTGGCAATGGGAGATTTCTTCAGCTTCGAGGCCGTGGGAGAGACCTGCATCCTGAAGCCAAGAGACCCAAGAGACCCACGAGCGAACATGTCGGCGCAGCCGTCGGCGCAGCCCGGTGCTCGGTGCATCTCGGTGCATCTCGGTGCAGCGATGCCTGTGGATCCTGTGATGTTTAAGTGATGTTTAAGTGATGTTTGTGGCCCTTCACCATTAAAAATCATTAGCATCTTTCGATGCTATTTTCATGTTTCATGAACTTTGGTCTCATCCGAACAGTTTGTCTCTGCAGTGCTCTTCAACTTTCCTTGCCGGCGAGGTCAGCTCCGCTTCAAATTGGTTTGGCTGCATCTTTGCAGGGTAGCACGAGTAGAGGCGCTGGTGATACGAGCTGCTCAGGGTTGATCTGAGCACTGAGCATTGGCTGGTGATCAGCCAGAGATTTATTAGACCGTAAACAGATGCGGCAGCATGCAGATTTGCAACCGAGAGTCTGGTCAGGTCATCCAGTGGAGTGGCAATTCATTCCGCAGTTCGTTGTGGTAAAGGCAGCCGGTTGGAGCTGAATGTTTGAAAAGCAAAAAACTTGGTGTGTTCCTATTTAATTTGATCTGATTCGATGGAGTTCTATTGAGTCTGGGGTATTGGTTGAGGCCAATGAGGCACTGGCACCTTCACAGGCGAGTCCTTCTTCGCAGAGGATGTGTTTCAAGATTGGCAACGCTTCAAAAAAGTGAATTACTGTAAGAATATAAAAAGGCAGCAACAAACACAAGCTGCTTGAGTATTTTTCTGGCTAGCAACACTGGGTTTCTTGGGTGAGGTGTGTGCCACATTGACCACATCAAGCCCAAGTGCAGAGGCACACTTGTCCACTCTCTTGGATCAATTGTGAATCGGCTCAGAGTGACCCCGCCTGGCCACGAGAACGGCTGTGACTATAGGTGCTCCATGGTGCTCCCAAGTGACTTCCGATGTGCCAGGTTCCCGTGTGGACAGGAGGTCATCATATTGAGGCCAGCAGGCTGTCTTTCGGCACAGTGGCAGAGTGCTTTTGGGCCTTTGGGTGACTTGGTGAGGCAGACCTGGATGGTCAGATCAAAAGCAGAAGAAGGGGCAATTTGACGTTGGAGGCCGTGACGAAGTGTGCCTGTGGTCATCTGATGCCACAAACAGTGCATACAACCATACAGAGCGTGGGAGTTGCCAGAGTCACTATGGACATGATGGTTATTTGAGCTTGAATTGTGTTCCTTTCTGTGTAGGTTCAGCCGTCGCATTTGCCAGCTTCTCAGTTTACGTTTGACCCGATCAGCCAGAGTTTGGTGAGATCCAAAGACATCGCAGGGCACCCAATCTCAACTTGGGAATTATGCGAATTATGTGGTCAGTTCATGTCAGTTCCAAGTAGGTCCAAGGGTGGTTTCCTCCGAGACATAAGTTGGAGGTCTTCATGGGCCTATTTCTCATCCTCTCGATTGCCACTGCACTGAGACCGGTGACTTCCCTTCGAATCCAATGGAACGATCCAGTTGATTGGGGAAGCCCAGAAGAGGCGCCTTATCATTGAATGACACCACAATGATATTCAATGGTGCCAGCAATTGATTTAGAACTTAATTGGGACTTTCCATCACCCCACGTGCTCAAAGGCGATGTTTTGCAATTTGCTGGAGGGAAACATCTCAGATATCTCAGGAAAAGCCACAATGAAACAGCAATGTTGGCGAACCCGCACTTACAGTAGCTGGTTGGTGTTTTCCACAGCATGCTGCACAGGTGAACTTGCGACTCTCAAGTCCAGCAACCGGACAGGCATGGCTGGGCCCAACTCATCTCCAAACCCCACAGGAACGGACAGGATATGATACTTATGATATGGATTGATATGATATGCTGGGTATGTCTCTGTGTATATCTCTGTGTGTTTCGTATGCATCCTCAGTTCCCGGATGGTCCCAGGTGGAGGTCTATCGCCTTCGAATCGAGCCAAGTAGCCAGGCGTTAGCGTAATGGATACAATGGGTACAGTGAATGTCGATCACAATGGCTAAATGGGATCAACAGAGGAGCTTCCTATAGTTTCCATTGATTCAATGTCATTCAGTCATCAACTTTGGTGATGTCACTGTGCTTGAAGATTGACATCTCCTCAAACATTCTGGTATTGCCCAAACGTAGGACGGAAGCTATAGAATGAATCGGCCTTGCGACTCTCACATTATGAATGTGTATGATATGTATCGCGTAATATACATAATTATACATATTATGTTACCTATAGATAAATAAATCAACCAGTAGATAACAAAATGAATAGATTGAATTACCGAAGTCGAAAAGTTTGCTGATGACATGTTTTTCCAGCTTTGGGCATGTCGAAACTCCAACTCCACAGGTGCCATGCGCTCCAGAAGCAGGCGGCTGGCCTTGGACCTAGCACTGCGACTACCAGACACCGATGATCACAATGTGACCGGGGTGATGTATTTGCCAAGTTGCAGCTGTACAACTTGGGAACTGCTTGGGGCCAGTATCGCTTCTGGGTGGTTCTTGTTGTATAGGTCCTGGCCATTTTATTTCGCAAACAAGTGATGTCAGCAACCATAGCGGCTTGCGCAAGAGCAACACCTATGTTTCCTTTGGGAAATCAGGTCTCTTCTGGAGATTCTCGCACTGGCAGCTGCGATGGCAGTGCTACTTTGGCTTGTGCTGAGGCTGCTGAAAGCGTCGCTCACATTCCAGAAACTGCCAGAAACGATGATGCAAATTTTAGCCTTATATGCTAATTATATCTAATTAGATCTAATTAGCATATACTGCTCTACCTGTACCCGTCACACTGATTGCTGGTTCACTTACCTGAAAATGTGATTCCTGCATGCAGGTTATGCACAAGGACAGCTGCTCCCCAAGATCAATTGGGTGCTGCTTTCCAGGGTGTTGGAGCTGGACCTATTTTAAGCCCATTGCTCAGTTTGAAAAAACGAGTGATGGGCGTTGGAATGTTAGTCCCTGCTAAGGTGGAGATCCATTTGCTGGACCGCACGCTGCAGCTTGATGGCGATGGTGGTGAAAGTAGTCAAAGAAGTTTGCCAGGGGTCATTGAAAATTTAGGTTTCCAGATTTTTTAGGTTCTGTTGTCACGGACCCTGGAGATTTGGGACTTTGGAAGCTGGATACTTCTGAGAATCCACTGAACTTGACCGAGATACTGACACTTTGCAGCATAGATGGAGTATTCAAGGTTTCGCCCTTCAATGCGCTCGGTCCAAGCCTCAGTGTGTTTAGTGAGAGTAGCAGCATACTATGTAAAATGGAAAGAAATGATTTCCGCAACAAGGCTGAACATCCGGCATCATCTCCACAAAATATACGATTTATTATTTTTAAATATCAGAGTTTATCAACATATATAGCTAATGCTTCTTATTAAAACATAGATATTGAATTTATTAATGCAAAATACAGCACGTATAATAGTATAATATTGATATACCAAAATATGAACATCGATGCACCTTGATGTGTGTGACGTGGAATAATTTGTTTGATTAATATGGCACTTCAATTGGAGAGATACATTGCATTGATTTGGAGTATACAGGCAGACAGACTGACTGGCAGACTGACAGACTGACAGACTGACTGAGGGACAGACTGACAGACTGACAGACTGACAGACTGACAGACTGACAGACTGACAGACTGACAGACTGACAGACTGACAGACTGACAGACGTACATACGTACATACGTACATACGTACATACGTACATACGTACATACAATGATTTGAAATCCATGTCATTTAAAGGCTCGGGCTTGACATCCCTCCACTGGCCAACATAGAGGGAGGGGGAAGGCAGAAAATCAAGCAGATGCGCAGGGTTTTGGTGCCGGCTGCTTTTAGGTGCGGTGGCAGTTGATATTGTGGGGGGGTATGGATTTTGTCGTCGCGGTGGTTGGGATGTTGTGATAATTGTTTTTCCGGCTGTGATGTTGATTGGCATTGATAACGTTGCTGTTGCAATGGTAGATTTTACCATTAGTATTGCTGCTATTGCTGCTGCTACTGCTGGGGTAATATATTTATGCTATAATGAATATATTATATATATATATTATAAATTATAATATTTTAAATTTAATTTTGAAATATATAGATTTAATAATTATTATTTAATTAATTAAACAAAATAAATATTAAACACTAATTATAAAATATTATTACATAAAACGGGACGCCTGTCGAAAAAATGGGCGCCTCTGTCGGAAACCCGACATTTGTAGCCGGAATTGATCTAATACATCATATAATTATGCCCAAAGTCCTAAATTTTCCGAAAATTTCGGACGAAATCCCGAATTTCCACGGAAATTTGGCGATTTAGGAATTTCCTAAAGTGGTAAATTTTCTGGAAAATTGGTACTTCGGGATTTTGACTGAACTGCGAAATTTTCCCGAAAATTGGTGCTTCGGGAGGTCGACTTAACCGCGACTTTTGGCAGAACAACTCGTATCGTAATGTTTGATTTGGGGGTACCCGAATTTTAGGACTCATATATTAATTAAACATATATGAATATTTATTTTTGATTTATATATTTAAATGATATATATCTGAGATATAATATATTGTGTATATTTTTTTAAACTATTATATATATATATATATTTTTTAAAAAAAATATATAATATTGTTGTTTTTGATATTTTATATTTGATATATATTTTTTTTTTGGTATATTTTTTGCGTTTAATATATATTATATATATTTATTTATGTCGTTCTTTAATTATTTTATTTTTTAATAATATAACATTATTTTTTGGAATATATTATATTTGTTTTTTTGATTTTTAAACAATTTATATATTTATATTTTTGTTTTTTTGAGATTTTTTTGGAAAAAAAAATATTTTTTGGAAAATTTGAGGGTTTGGAATATT